TTAAACCACATTAAACTCTAAATTCTTGTTATCTACTTGTAACAGTTCCCCCTTTTCAAGTCATTCCTGGATTTTAAAGCAAGCATCCTAGATCTTCATCAAAGTCATTCATAAAAATGCTGGAAAAACAAAAGACCCAGGGCAAAGGGTTAGATCTTTCTCCAGGGACCACTCTTGGACCCAAACCCAGTACCCCACACACCCGGAGGGTGCTAGTTCAGCCCATCTCATGCCCACAAAGCAATCCCGCTAGTCGACACACCATCTCACCCACAAGAGCATCTCAAGCCTTAACAAATGCTTTGCTGAAAGTAAGATTCACTTATGTTTCAAAACAACGTGTAAAAAAACTATACATATTAAAATTATAGTCTTTGAAAACTACATATGCACACAGAACAAAGACTAAAAGGAAAGGAGCCTCAATGGAAATGTCTGTTCCGGCGTCAGACTGTGGAGACTGTTTTTTATTCAATACTGTGTTTACTATAGTTACATTGTTTAAAAAATTGAAGACACCAGGAATTCTTCTTAGAGAGAATGTTGCTTGGAGGCAGTTCATGTAAAACAGCTTTAAGAGACTTGAGACTCTATCTGATCCTACCAACTTGAAAACCCCAATCAAAAAATATTCAGTTAAAAAGACTTGTTGATCCTTAGGAACACTAGCTTCTTTTTTTTTTTTTTTTTTTTTAATTTTGCTTTCCTGCTTGGGTGGGTATAATATTTCTGAAACTGAGTGAGACAGTAAACTTATATGGAACAGTATCTAAAGTCAAAAAGCCTTTCCTGGATTTAGTAAGTATATATAGGGCGTGTGTGTGTGTGTGTGTGTGAGAGAGAGAGAGAGAGAGAGAGAGAGAGAGAGAGGCAGACAGAGACAGAGAGACAGAGAGTGAGTGACTCAGTCTGTTCATGTCTGTCTGTCTGTTATGTCTGTCTCTTTATCTATGCTGGAGAAGTTCAAAAGGATGAAAAGGAAAAAAAAAAAGTCACCATGTTTAATAGTTCTGTGAAGATTTGGACTAAAACAGACCTCCAGCCCAAGAATCTCTAATGGACACATAAACTCATATCATCTGTTCACCTAGAGTCCTCTTTTACACTAAGAGCAGGAAATAAGATCAGCAGTAGGATTTGCACTTTGGTGTTTAGAGCTGAGGCAAGGGTAAGGTTTAAGAAAAGGAGTCGGGGGGCGCCTGGGTGGCGCAGTCGGTTAAGCGTCCGGCTTCAGCCGGGTCACGATCTCGCGGTCCGTGAGTTCGAGCCCCGCGTCAGGCTCTGGGCTGATGGCTCGGAGCCTGGAGCCTGTTTCCGATTCTGTGTCTCCCTCTCTCTCTGCCCCTCCCCCGTTCATGCTCTGTCTCTCTCTGTCCCAAAAATAAATAAAAACGTTGAAAAAAAAATTAAAAAAAAAAAAAAGAAAAGAAAAGGAGTCGGTAAGAGTAAGTGTACAGTTATCAAAAAAGAAAAAGAAATAAAGTGGCTGGTTATTTTGCAGAAAATATCCATAAATCCTGCCCTTATTGGAATCCCAAACAATCTGAATATTTGATGGAGAATTTTTTAACATGTCAGGGTTTCTTTACTGCCTCAGCATTTGTTTAGAGCATGGTTTTCTCAGTGGAAAACCAGCGTTAGAAACTGAATACATGTTACCCTTATCTCTTTGAGATGGTCTCTCACTAGGTTTCTCTGGTGCTGTCTCTTGCTATTTTTAATGTCTGAGAGCAAGACAAGTGAATATTCCACTTTGCTTAGAAATACAATTTGTCCATTGTCCTAGAAGCTAAGTTAAATACATCAGGTAAACCAACAGCTTTTAGATTTATGGAAAACCCTTATAATAAAGAGGTAAGATGAGCAAATACTAAGTCCAGTTGACAACTGAAAATTTTACTTTGCTTAGAAATAAATTTTGTCTACCACCCTAAAAGTGAAGCCAAAAGTATCTGGTAAATCAGCAGGTTCACAGATCTATAGCAAATTTTCATTTAAAATACATAAAATGTCCAACTAGAAAGTCTAGTTATTATTTGACAAGTGAAAATTCCACTTTGTTTTGAAATACAATTTTCCCGCCACCCTAGAAATTAGGCTAAATACTTGAGGTAAGTCAACAGTTTCACAGATGGAAAATTGTCATAAAATAGGTTAAATGTCCAAAGAGAAGTCTAGCTAGTATTTGACAAGGGAAAATGCTACTTTGTTTTGAAATACAATTTTCCCATTGCACTAGAAGTTAAATACAGGTGGTCAATCAACAGCTTCATGGATCCACAGCAAATGCTCATCAAAATGAATTAAAATGTCCGAATATAATGCCCAGTTATTATTTGATAAAATAAATATGCTCAGGAACACCTTTTTTTTTTTTTGCTTTACATGTAACCGTGTGCAAAATGGGTAAGAAATAGTCAACACTGAGAATATCTGAGAAAATCCAAAATTCACTTAGGAATAATAAATGTCAAAAAAGTGTTTTAAATTCTTGTCTATTAATTGGAGGGAGGCTAATGTTTTGTAAGATAACACAAATGTTATCTAAGGTATTTGTCAATGTTATATTTTTGTATTTATTTTTAATATTGTTTTGCTGTTTCAGATTTGAAAAGTCTTATCATAATTACTTATCAATGTTGTTTTTTTTGCTCAGAAAAGTATTTCTAAGCAAAATAAAAATTATTTAAAATGAAAAGAAATAAAAAACACAAGGAAATACACCAAAATGATAACTATGCGTATGTTACAATAGTGAGATCAGAGGAAATTATCAGTTATCCAGTTTTAAATATTTATGTACTAACGTTGTTCATTTAAATTTTAATTAGAAAAAGCAATTAATATTATTTCCTTTTAAAAAATCTCTGTAAATTTAATGTTGTTTAACAGTTAGGTCTCTTTGGAAAGAAAATAATGAAGGAAAATTAATTTGATCTGATTTTTAATTTTTAGGAATCATACATATGTAGCTCTATGAGAAATATATGTTATTTTGGTACATGTAAATGCATAAAGAAAGTCTGAAAAAGTAAACTACATAATGTGTATGGGGATTAGTTTAGGATGAAGAAGTTACAGGTGATCTTGATTTTCTTCTTGATTTTTTTCCCAGTTTTCTGTAGTTTTATTCTCCTGAATTTTGCACAGTGAATAAAAATTCAGTATGATAAAAAATAATACTAAAGATGTTTTTATACAAAAAAATTCTGGTTAACATTTTGAAATAAAAAATGAAATTGGTTCAAAGTTATTCAAACTTTAAAACTCTTGGGATAGATTTTTAAACTTTTATTTTCCCTACCATCTATCCTGGTTTTTAATCTCACTTTTTAGATAAAGAATATCTATCAGTTAACAAATAGGCAAACTAAATTTTCTAGATTGAAAAAAACATCTAAGGGGTTGACAGTTCGGCAGTCAGAATGGTACTCTGGCAAACATAAGACATCCTAAAATTTTATCTTGCAGAAAAGGATGAACATCTTAAGATTAAAGGCACTTCTAAAAAGTATAATTGTGTTCACCCAACTTCCTAGAAAAACATCTTCCACTGTTGGAAATTTTCACTTCATTCATTCATAGATCTGATGCTCAACATTTTATTTCTGATAAAAAGTAAAATCCCAGTAATTGTGTTCCACTTTTGTTTATTCCTAGAAAAGCTAGCTTTAATTGCGATCCCTGACACCCTGTCACGTACAATGGGTCAAATTCTTATTTATACTATATGTATAAATAATCTGTAGCAATGTTACTAAAATATACTCAATTTTAGCCTTTAAATACAAACGTGGTCATCCGCATCTCAGACACCTCACTCAGCTGTAGACAACTGGCTTTCCATTTTAACTTAAACTTCTTTTTCTAAGATTATCAACAAATTGTCCTTTTTCTCAGACCCTGACACTTTGAGGCGCTTAAATGGACATCCTCGTTATGGCTCTTTTTTTTTTTTTTTTTTTAAGCATCCTTCTTTATCAGTATTTCAGCGGTTTGCAACTCATTGCACTTTTATCTAAAGTAAAATATGTATATTTATATGCATAAATACACACAAACATTTGTGGCCGAATCTCAGCAACACGCTTGAAAGGATTAAACATGCGGTTACCGTGACTAAATGTATTCATTCATTCTACAAGACTTAGAAAAACGTAACGTTGCAGAGAGAGCTAGGTCTCTGTGTAAACCTTGTAATCACCACTAAAAGGCCATAGCTGGGAGCCTCCGAAGCCTCCAAGCACACTGGAGGCATCCACAGCTGTTTTTAATTGTTTTTGCTTTTCAAAATAGCGCACTTGGTGGGGCAAACGGGGCTGTTTGCAGCGTCTCTGGCCCCCAGCCGGGGTTAACCCTGACCTGAACGCCCTGTTTAGCTCCCAGCATTTCACGATTCTGCTTCCCTGCTCCGTAAAACCTAAGAAAAACGAGATTTCCGCCGCCAAGAAATGCTCTTAGGAGGAAGGGGAATTAGGTGTTTCAAATGCACATTTTTGTGTTCCCTCCCGATCGGATTCAAGGAAAGAAAAAAAAAGGATGTTTATGTGGACGGGGATGCAGCTTGACACCCATTTCCTATGGCTTGTCTCCGGGCCGCAGAGCCCCATTCGTGTGGTAACGACCCCCAGAAAAATGGGCAACAACACCCAAGTCTTTGCTTCAGGGATGGGGAGAGGTCCACCACCAGGGCTGGTAATTAGGGGTAGGGGGTGCGGTGGGAATGGAAATAGGAGACAGAATTTCTGCGCGCTCTGGGCAGGGAGGGGCCCGCGGGGGCGCGGAGAAAAATAAAAGGCCAGGGGTCAAGGCTGAGAAGGGACTCACAGGGCCCAGGAATTGGGGTGCGGGGTGTTCTGGACGAGGGGTGTCGTGAGGATGCGGGTAGAAAGAGGGGCTGGCGCCCAGAAAATGCCCCCAGGTACCCAAAACCCGGGCGGGGGATGGGGAGGCGGCGGCCTGTTGGCCCCAGGACCTCCCGTCGCGCGCGGGCCACTAACCTGTCAGCAAGAAGGTGCCAGTGGTCGCGGGGCTCATCCTGCGTGTCCCCCGACCCTGTCCCGTCCAAGCACAAGGGTCTCCCAGCTCCCACCACCGGGACAATTGCATTCTTGGCCTGACTAGGCCGGCCGTCCTCGATTCTCCCCTCCCCTCCCTTTCTTCTTTCCTCCCAGCTTGGCCAGTTCAGCATCAGCATCCTGCACCCCCTCCTTAATCCCGTACTCCCCCTAGCGGCGGGCCAGTGTAGCGTGGCCATCGCCGCCACCCCCATCCCCCAATCCCCCCCAACCCCCGCCCCCGCTCCCCTCCGCCCCCCTAACCCGCGGAGCACGCTGGGATTTGGCGCCCCCCGCCTCTGTTCAGCCTATATAAGGCTCCCGGTCGGCGCTCCCGGTACACGCGCTTCAACTTCGGTTGGTGTGTGTCGAAGAAACCTGACTACGACCTGGGGAGAACAGCGAAGAGGGTCCACCGAGCCTTGCGAAAGGTCCGCTGAGCGGGCTCGCGTCCGGGGCCACTCCGGGCTGCGGAGCACCCAGCGGAACCCACGCCTGGCACAGGTGTGGGACCCCGTCCTCCTGTCTTCGCAGAGGAGTCCTCGCGTGGTGAGTATGCGGTGAGGATGTTTCTTTTTTTAAGATCACATTCATTCCCTGTCCTTTTCGGGAGCTGCGGGAGATAGAGTAGTGCCCCTAAGTGTCTCCACGAAAATCTTGTCACGCCTTCACTGGCTGTACCCCAAAACAGAGTGGAGAGAGAAACCAAGCCTTCAGGGCTTTGATTTCCAGGACCCAAGTCCAGATAAGAGCTGTAGACAGACATGAGCTGCGGACAGACATGAGCTGCAGACGGATAAGAGCTACAGACCAATTTGCAATTTGTTCTTCAAATGCGCTACATAGTGATAGGCGCTACAAACTAATTGGCGCTTCAATGCGCTATAAACTGATAAGCGCTTCAAATGCACTGTAGACTGGCGCTTCAAATGCGCTACTAGCTGATGGGTGCTTCAATGCGCTACAAACTGATAAGCGCGTCAGATGCGCTATAGATGGATGGACGCTTCAATGCACTTACAAACCATTATGGACTGCAGCAATATATGAGCTGCAGACTGATGATTGATTTGCGCTTTAAATGCGCTACAAAATCTGAGCTGCAGAAGATTAGCGCTACAAAAATGATACCATTAGCACTACAACAGCGCTTCATTGTGTTACAAGGCACAGGAACTGCAGAGGTACATGAGCTGCGGAGAATTTACACCTAAAATGCGCTACAAAGTAATAACAGCTGCAGAGATATACAAGCTGCACTGTTTTATGCTATAAAGAAACCTGCTAAAAAGGGACAAGAGCTGTAGAGTAAGATTACTCTGTCTTCTTGGAGGGGGACCCCACCCTTTGTCTCTAACACACCTTTTGGAATGGCTCCCACTATGTTTTTCTGCAGGACGGTTGTCTGCATGATGGTGCTGTTACACAAAATGGAGCCCCGGGCAAAAATTAGTGTTTAACATTCTGCCCACACCATTCCTGCTATAGCAGTGGAGTGGAGGGGCGCTGACTTGAGTGTAAAAGGGAATCTTTTGGTGGTGGCAGAGCGAGCTGCCTTGCCTAGTTGCGCTTGATTGAAGTGGCAGTGTAGTTGTAGTGGTGGCGCGAATGGGCGTCCAGCAACAGTTTGTGGAAACTGTTGGTTTGCTTAGTATGGGCGGGGAGGGGTGGTTGGATCTGGGGATGATTGCTCTTGTTGCATGAAATGAATCTGGCTGTTGGAGGCTGGTGGGAGGGGTTTTGGGAAGGGGGGATCGTGGGAGAGGCAAACAGCCAGTCTCAGACCTGCCCCGCCCATTCTAGCGCGCCTTCTCTGCAGTATCTGCTCAGAGCGGGCTTAGCGCCTCCCAGCGCCTACTCAGTGCGCGCCTCCTCTGCAGCGCGCCTTCCCAGAGCGCGCCTTCTAGACCATTTCTCCCCAACCCCGCCCCTCCCTAGCCCCCTCCTCTGGGTCCCCCAGATTGCCTGCCTCCTTGGGCCACCTCCTCTGACCTGTCCTGACAGGCCCCGCCTCCCCGTGAGCCCGCCTCCTTTGAGGCCCAGGCCGCCTCTCCTCTGAGCCTCCTGACCTCCCCCAACCTCTCCTAGTCTTCTCCTCTGGTGGCTCCACAGACCCCACCTCCCCCTGTGAGCCCACCTCCTCTGAGGTGGCACCCCCCCTGAAACCTCCCTCCCTAGGCCCGCCTCCTCTGAGGTGGCTTGCTCAGACCCCGCCTCTCCAAAGCTTGGCCCCTCCCTGAGCCAGCCTCCTCTGAGTTGGCCTACGGCCCCGCCTCCCCGGAACCCGCCTGCGCCTGCGCAGTGTGAGCCCCCAGCCCCTCCCATCAGGCCCACCTCCTCTGCGCCTGCGTACTGCCTTCACTGCCTGAGCCTGGCTGCACAGCCCCTCCCTTCTGCGGTTTCTGTGGCGCCGGTTTTGCTTTTTATCCAGCAGTGTCTAATAAATATAAGAACAATAAACAAGAACAATTAGCAACAATGATAATTATACCTGGAATTTACAAGCACTTTTTACAAGTGCTTTGCATATATTAAATAACATAATCCACAATTTAAACTTGACAGTGGGTTATGAAAGGTGCTTCTGAGCATACATGGCTGGTGCCTCTAAGGGCAATCCAGCTAAATGTTTTTACTACTTTACTACTTGTTTTAAATACTTTTAAGGTTTAAATACTTTTAAGGTTTTTTTAAGACACTAATGGGCATTTATGGTGGCTTACTGGAATAGGATTCTTTGGTGGATACAAAATAAGGAACAATTTGAACTGTGTTTCCTAGGAGTTTAGTGGCTTATTGGCATTGTTGGCCTTGGAGCAAGGATGAGGTGTTTATGTGTATGCCTGTGAAGCTAGGTTTTTTTTTCTTGGAACCCTAGGGTATTAGCCCTGGCTAACTTGCCTGCATATTTATTAATTGTGCCTGGCACATGGTAGGCATTCATTAAATATGTGTTAAATGACCAGAGTAAATTGGTTTATTCAGTGCCTTCTTTGGTGTCTGCAGGTGTTTTCTGGTTTTTTTCCTGTGGTGCTTTGCTGTGCTGGATTGTCCAAGGCATTGCTAGCCTTATTTCTCACACTTAATAGGATCTTTAAAAAAAAAAAAGCGTGTATGTATGTATGTATACATATATATATATATATACTTTAAACTCCAATAATGTAAGCTGTAATTATAATAAAAAAACTATTTTAATTTAAAATATTCAGAAGAATTAGCTTTTTAAAAATAAAAAGCAAAAACTATTTAAGTATTTAAATTTGGGGTGAGTGGATTACTTACTGGTGGTACATAATTTTCATTTAAAATTTGTATAATGTAAAAAGTGGTTACATTACAAAATACATAGTTGAACATTTTAGCTGGCATTGTTAAACTTTTTTATTAAACCAATTTATGCCTTACTTTTAGTCATATGTACCATGTTTATGTTTCTAACTAAATGAAGAAATTTTAAAACCTCATTTATCTTGATACTTTTATACATACTTATAATTACAGCTTTCAGTAAGTCCCCATGCCCACATTGCCACCCTGACCCTCCCCCCCCCCAACTCCTATTAGGAAATTCTGTGTCTGCATTTTTTTAAAGTTCAAAACAATGGTAAAAATGTGCATATTAATATAATTTGCATTTCACAAATAGTACACAGAGTACTAAAAAAGAAATTGGGACTTTTGAAAATGTAAAGCAATTAAGAGTTGCTTAATGAAGTGTCATTTCCTAATGAGATGTTTAATGTGTGACAGTTTTGGGCCACTGTTACTCTTTGATATGTTTGGGGAACGGAAGTTTTTAGAAGTCATCCTGAATAGTCAGAGATGAATTAAATGTATTTAATTCCTATATAGACTAGCAATGAATTCTTTGTCATATGTAAAGGTGACGTCTGTCCCATGTGGCTCGGCTCTATGCTATGTATCCTTTCAGGTTTTCCTAAAACCTGACTGCACCTCCCCAGTCCAGCCCCTCATAAGGGGGGTTTAAAGAGCCATAGTTCTGTAATTCAAATCAAGTCCTAATGCTCCTGTTTCTATGTTAACTGGTGCTCTAGTTACTGTTTAAATATTTTAAAACTTTATTTACACAAATGTTAACCTGCCTGCCCACTATCCTATCACTTTTAAAGTTGAAACCTCTCTTCTCTGGACAGTCATCTCCTTTAGGATTTAGAACCCCACCCCAAAATTTAAAACCCCAGAGGTGGGCACCTGAAACCTGATCTTGGTAAAGGTCAGGGGTCTCAAACTGGTGACCTTGCAGGCCAAATAAGACCCTTAATTTGTTTGACCAGCACTGGAATACAATTTTTTTTAAAGAATTGAATGTCTTTGGGGAGGGGGGGCATGCATCCCCAAATTACAGTCACAGCCTCCTCCTTACTGTCTTAACTTCAGGTCCTTTTCACTTTTATGGTACCTTCCTGTCTACTAAAAGCATTTGAATTTTAAGCCCTTATTGATCTTCTGATTCCCTAAACAATACAATGATTGCTGATTTCTGAACATGTTGTTATATCTGTCCTATTATTGTATTTCGCAGATATTAAAACCCATCAGATCTGGGCCTCAATAAAACTCATCTCAGTGACTGTGATTGACATGTAGCTTGTTAACCTTCCTGACCTGGGTCAGGCAGCGCCAGGCCATGCTCTGAATGCCTTTCCAGAATTTTGAAAGTATTGTCTGGATGACAGAAGTGGCACCCGAGTCACCTGACTTGTGCTTATTAGTTGTTATTTAATGGGACATTAAAACTCTTAATTTTGTAAATAAAAAGTCTACTATTTTGTAACCTTATATTCTGAGTGTCACCAATACAGTTATCTCCAAGGAGTTGGAAATGAAACAGTGTCACAGGTTATGATGTATTGCATCTTCTAGTTTTTCTACATTTTCAGACTATTTAATCTTAAATGTCAATTAAAACTATTAAAATGGCACAGTAATTCTGTCTCTTAAAGATTCTGCTTGGGGGCTTGGGGGGAGATTCTGCTTGCTGTATAGCCACTCCTTGGAGTAGGGAAGGGGAGGGCAGGGGAGGGGCCTAAAGGATTATGAGGGATCTTAAGGAAGAGGAAGGAAAGGGTATTTCTCTACACCCAGGGTCAAGGCTGAAGTGTACAGCCATCATTTTTGATTATCACGTTGTGTGTGTGTTTTTTTTTTATGCCCTATTGATTTAAATGTTAGCTATTTTTCACCTAACTTCTTTGAATAACACATGTTTATCTTTGTGGGTTATAAATAATATAATTAATTTAGTGTCCATTTTGCCTTGATGAGTCAGAGAGGAAAAGGTGGCCAGGACTGCTAAGTTAAAATTGTAGTGAATAGGCAGTCTGCCTGCTTTGTATATTATATTTTTAAACTTTTGAGCACTTTTCTAAAGTTTTCCAGATATGAGAATTTAATGCTCATTGTAAAGTTATTAAAAAAATTGCTCTAAATGCACTTAGCCCTATTTTTAGGAAGTACATAGGCACTGTTGGATCATTTATTTTAGGTGTGATTTATTGTCCCCATAGCCATAATTAGGGACCTTTAATCCCCCAACCCCCCCATGTGCCATATATCCACTCACCACCTAGGAGTGCAGCCCTATCCTGCTCTAAATTACAAACTTTTTGGTGGGACTGTGCTGACAAATTTTGTTTAAAAACCAGAAGTTGCAGACTGGTGACCTGAAAGTCAAATGAGGTCCTGGATTTGTTCAACCTACGGTGTATACAAAAATAATTTAAAAATTTAGGTGGAAAATGTATGCCTAGGTTGCTATAGTTGCAGCCCCTCCCTGTTTTAATCTTAGCCTCTTTACACAGAATGTTACATTTCTATTTTCTTATTAATAACTTTATTAATATCAATAACTTATTAACAACTTTAATAACTATTAATAATGTAATAACTAACAGTTATTAAATATTCACACTGTGCCTTACCTGCATTTTTTAATTAAATCTATACTGTAAGTTTTTGAGTGTCCCAATTTGATAGCTCAGCTCCTCCTAAGAGGCATCAGTTAATATTTGTTGATTGATCGTATAATAAGGAGAGAAACTGATATACACATGTTGCTGCTCAGTGCCACTTCTGTCCCACAGGGAATTCTCTTTGGGAAGTCAAATTGTGGTCAGAAAAGTAATTTAGATAATCCTGTGGGTTTTGTGGCAGTTGTTGTTGTTTGTTTTGATAATCATTTACCTTCTGCATGGAGGTAGACCACATGACAGTTGGCCAAAGTGCCCCCTTCCCCCAGAGTTGATGAATACAGGTATTGTGATTTTAAGCCCCCACCTTTTTTTTTTTTTTTTTGGTTCCCTATTAGCTGGAATATTAGCTGTGTTTCAGGTAACTTGTCTAATAACAGTTAATCATTTTGGCTTTACTTTGTGGTTTTATTCTGGCTGGGTCTTTGACTTGAGAGGTTTTTGCTGTGCTCTGTTGATACAGGGTTGTTTGTTTACAATGTCTCAGTGTTCTTTTCTAGTCGGTGAAGGTAAGCTTGCTGTTGATATAGTTATGTGTTGTTGAGTCATAATGAACAGGTGACATTTGAGGAGGAAAAGGTCATTTGGATTTTTAAAAAATGGGGTGCTTTTTGTTATGCTTTGTTTAATTGATTAACTTCTTTCTCCCCTTTTCAAGGTTTGCATTTCTTTACTAATTACTGATGTAAACAAGTAGGGCAAAGAGATACTTTAAATACTCATGTATTTGAAGTATTTTTGGTGGATACTTTAAATACTCATGTATTTAAAGAGTATTTTGGTGCATACTTTAAGTACTCATGTATTTAAAGTATTTTGGTGGACACTCTAAATGCTAAATTCTTTTTTGTAATGTGCTGCTTTGAATGTACATGTTAAATTTATGCTTTTGTCTTCCTTTACAGAAACAAAAAGCTTTTGAAAACAAAAAGAAGAAAGGGTGGAAGAGGAGGCCAGGACCCAGGCCTCCATCCCCACAGGAGCGAAGCTGCACCTGGGAGGTCTCCTCCCACTCCAACTCTCACCCTGGGGCCCGACTGCCCACCTCCTCCTCCTCCTCCTCCCCCCAACGGCCCTTCCTCCTCCTCTTCCTCCTGCTCCTCCTCCTCTTCTTCTTCTTCCTCCTCGCGCAGCGGCCAAAGAGGCCAGTACATCCCCAACCTGGCCGAACGAAGGCGGGACGATCTCTCTGAAGAGATCAACAACCTCAGAGAGAAGGTCATGAAGCAGTCAGAGGAGAACAACAACCTGCAGAACCAGGTGCAGAAACTCACGGAGGAGAACACCTCCCTCCGTGAGCAAGTGGAGCCCGCCCCTCAGGATGAGGAGGATGACCTCGAGCTCCGAGGTGCTGCAGCGGCCGCTGCCCCGCCCACTCCCATAGAGGAAGAGTGCCCAGATGACCTTCCCGAGAAGTTTGACGGCAACCCAGACATGCTGGTTCCTTTCATGGCCCAGTGCCAGCTCTTCATGGAAAAGAGCACTCGAGATTTCTCAGTCGATCGCGTCCGCGTCTGCTTCGTGACCAGCATGATGACCGGCCGTGCCGCCCGCTGGGCCTCTGCGAAGCTGGAGCGATCCCACTACCTGATGCACAACTACCCAGCCTTCATGACCGAGATGAAGCACGTCTTTGAAGACCCTCAGAGGCGGGAGGCTGCCAAACGCAAGATCAGACGTCTGCGCCAAGGCATGGGGTCAGTCATCGACTATTCCAACGCCTTCCAGATGATTGCCCAGGACCTGGATTGGAATGAGCCCGCCCTGATTGACCAGTACCACGAGGGCCTCAGCGACCACATCCAGGCGGAGCTGTCGCGCCTTGAAGTGGCCAAGTCGCTGTCCGCACTGATAGGCCAGTGCATCCACATCGAGAGGAGGCTGGCCAGAGCGGCCGCGGCGCGCAAGCCTCGCTCCCCGCCGCGCGCGCTCGTTCTGCCGCACATCACCAGCCACCACCAGGTAGATCCCACCGAGCCTGTGGGAGGTGCCCGCATGCGCCTGACCCAGGAAGAAAAGGAACGACGCAGAAAGCTGAACCTTTGCCTCTACTGTGGGAATGGAGGTCACTACGCCGACAGCTGTCCTGCCAAGGCCTCAAAGGCTTCGCCGGCGGGAAACTCCCCGGCCCCGCTGTAGAGGGACCTTCAGCGACCGGGCCAGAATTAATAAGGTCCCCACAAGATGATGCTTCATCTCCACACTTGCAAGTGATGCTCCAGATTCATCTCCCGGGCAGACACACCCTGTTCGTCCGAGCCATGATCGATTCTGGTGCTTCTGGCAACTTCATCGATCACGAGTACGTTGCCCAAAATGGGATTCCTCTGAGAGTCAAGGACTGGCCGATACTTGTGGAAGCAATTGACGGACGTCCCATAGCATCGGGCCCCGTTGTCCACGAAACGCATGACCTGATCGTTGACCTGGGAGATCACCGCGAGGTGCTGTCATTCGACGTGACTCAGTCTCCGTTCTTCCCCGTTGTCCTCGGGGTGCGCTGGCTGAGCACACACGACCCCAACATCACGTGGAGCACCCGATCTATCGTCTTTGATTCTGAATATTGCCGATACCACTGCCGGATGTACTCTCCGATACCGCCGTCGCTCCCCCCACCAGCGCAGCCGTCCTTCTACTACCCGGTGGATGGATACAGAGTTTACCAACCAGTGAGGTACTACTATGTCCAGAACGTGTACACTCCGGTGGATGAAAACGTCTACCCAGATCACCGCCTGGTTGACCCGACCATAGAGATGATCCCTGGAGCACACAGTATCCCCAGCGGACACGTGTACTCGCTGTCCGAGCCTGAAATGGCAGCTCTGCGAGATTTCGTGGCCAGAAACGTGAAAGATGGGCTGATCACCCCAACGATCGCCCCCAACGGAGCCCAAGTTCTCCAGGTGAAAAGGGGGTGGAAACTGCAAGTTTCCTACGACTGCCGAGCTCCCAACAACTTCACCATCCAGAATCAGTATCCTCGACTCTCTATTCCAAATTTGGATGACCAGGCTCACCTGGCGACGTATACTGAATACGTACCTCAGATACCTGGATACCAAACGTACCCCACCTATGCCACGTACCCGACCTACCCGGTAGGATTCGCCTGGTACCCGGTGGGGCGAGACGGACACGGGCGATCGCTCTATGTCCCCGTGATGATCACCTGGAATCCGCATTGGTACCGCCAGCCTCCGGTACCCCAGTATCCGCCGCCGCAGCCGCCGCCGCCGCCGCCGCCTCCGCCGCCGCCGCCGTCTTACAGCACCATGTAAACACTTGTCGTGTTCTTCGAGATCTCTGCCCTCAGATTTACTCCTGTTCAGCTTCTCAACCAATGACTGTGTGCCAAATTGGGCTACTGCATCTTCAGGCCAAACCTGAGGCACGGTCCTCTCTGAAACGGCTACGGAAAGGTCAGGGCCACCCTGGACGGGCACACGTCCTGAAAAGCACCAAAAGAGCGACAGAGCATTTACCAACAAATTATCTCTCGGTTTTCCACCGTAACTGCCAATGTAACGAAAATTCGTTGAAATCTCTGTCACCATCTGAATTAATAGGCTGCCACATTCCACCTTTAACATTTACAGAGAAGCTGATGCAAACACAGGAAATGCTGATTTCTCTATGGAGGGGGAGATACAGAGGAGGAGGAGGAGGACATGACTTTTCTTGCAGTTTCGGTACCCTCTTTACATCATTGGAGGACCGACGCCTTATTAAGGAAGCCAGAATTGTTGGTGCAGTGTAAAACGGCTTCCGTGATCTTTTTGCTGCACCCTTAGAAACTTCACCATCTTCAGACTCCACATTCATGGTTCCGTTAATTCTCAAGGAGCAGCAACTAGACTGGTTCTCCCAGGAGCAGGCAAACCCCCTGCAACAGCAACACCTCAGGCCTCAGAAGGAAGTGCTCTCTCAGAAGGGACTCTGGCATGTTTAGAGTGTGCCTTCACACCCTGGTGCAAATCACATGTACCCAAGAATTCTGGCTTTCTCACAACACCTTACCATCATCATGCCAGTAATGGCTTCCATGAAGTGTTAAACCCGGTAATTAGAGACTGTTGGTGATTACGTTTTGGTCACGCACGAGGGTTAATGAGTAGCAGCAAATCAAAAGGATTCTTAACCCATACCCACCTCTTAAGAGACTCTGAGTTAATGCTACCAACTTGTCCATCAGAAGAAATTTCATGGGTGTTGTTAACTGGCTGGAAGAGCTTCATCTGAAGTCTTGGAAGCATCTCTCCATGTGTCTGCCTCCATTTGCATCTGGGCATTTCATCAGCAGTCCCCTCACTAGACTATAGCATTAGGATGCTTAGAGAGGGGACATGAATTTAGCACCCAGACCCACACTCCTATGCCTGCGAGGGATATCTTTGAAGAAGAGGGATTGAGGCACTGGACATGGCCTTGAAGATACAGACTTCTTTTGTGAGCTTTAAATCCAGAGAGTGACCTGATGGGTAACCACTTTAAAAGGATCAAGAGTTCACACAACGGAAAGCGGTCCCCTCTAGGGGATGGAGAGGATAATAAGCTGCCAATGAATGAAAGGCCTCGAAGCAACTCAAATGACTCAAAGCAACGGACAACACAAGCGTTGTCTTCAGTCTGGTGATGACGTCTAGTCTCCTGGATGCTTTGTGCTAACCTGGGACTGCCTGACTTCTTTAGCCTGGTCTTTTGCTACTACCTTGAACTGTTTGTCTAACCTTTCTCTTTCTGTTTAATTCTTTACTACTGCCATTAACCCTGCTGCAGGATTCGTGTCATCTTTCCTGCCTGGTTGCTGAGACTCCATTTTGCTGCCATGCACGGAGGAGAAAGAGGCAGGTTTCGAGGGGCATGTGTTTCAATACACAACGTCCAATTGCCAAAACACAGTTTGAGCAGTAGACCGTGTGGTATATATTTCCAATTGCTTATCATGAAGAGGAGTCCAACGGTGAAGTTTCATTTTTCATCCACATCATCTTTCATACATTCATTATCGTCCCCCCCCCATTCTTGCATGTTTAAATACTTAAAAGTTTTAGCTGTAGGTTAGTGGTGTCTTTTAACAGTGTTTTAAAGTGGTGACTGCTTTCAGAAGTTATTTCCATTGAATTACAAAGTTCTATCCAATTCTTACTGTTAAACTAATTAAAATGGATAAGTTAACATAGTATAAAATATTTTACTGTGAACTTCTCTTACAACACTGTGAATGAGAGTCCTCAGAACTGGAGTATTTGTATAGTGGTTCATCCCGTTAACCTTCAATCTTCTATTTTAACATATACAAGTTCAATTTTATCAATTGGGCCTTTAACAAGTCACACAAAAAGATCTACAAATCCAAAGAAGATAACTAATTGGCTAGTTAATTCCAAAAACGTTTCCTCCCCCCCCCCCCCCCCCCCCCCTTCAGTGGAATCAGAAAGCTTGTCAGTCACCCACGTGTATTAGAGTAATTACTTTTAAAATGGTGCGTTTGTGCTTCTGGACTATTTTGAAGCGTCACTTCAGTTTACCTCAGATCAATCCATCATCCATACATTTGATTCAAGTTGTTTTGTGTCAAACTTACAGTTGTCAATTGATCTTCAAGCTGCAGAGGACCTAGAAGTAGGTCATTTGTCTGCAGCCCTGTGGCATGTGCACACGGACATTTGCCATCACTGCAAGCAAACGTCTGGAGATGTTGACCAACGAAAGCAGCGGTCAGGGAGAGCATGGTGATGGGGATGAAGACCCTGACGCACATTTGGCTGTTTAGTAAAGCTTGTGGAAAACTTTGGGCAGTGTGTACTATGCTTTATTGCTATATATACTCTCTATTATACTATCTATAAATGTAGGTGTTAAGAATAAGTAATTTCAAATTTATTCTATAGTATCAGGATTTAATAAGTTTCCTTTCACTGAATTTATTTTATTGCTGTTGATTATGTTAATTGGACACTTTTTTTGGCATTTTTCCCACAAAAATGCCTTTATTCATTAGAAAGGAAAGAGCAAAGGAATTAAATCTCTAAGGGAGTTAGAAAGGGAGCAAAATAAAGCATAAAGGACATAAATAAATCAGCATATCAGTGTTATTAAGCAAAGCCGGTAGTCGGCCTTTTTGAAACAAATTGGCAAACGTGATTAACTTTTAACCCAAATTGTCAGTGTTCATGAAATCAAGGAAGAAGAAGATATGAGCTCCCATTGTTGGGTGACCCTGGAGAGAACTAGTGAAGGTCATCACACTAGGATATTGAGATGGAGGAAGTTTACATACATTTCTGAAGGGTCAGTTTAGTTTGAGCAATGAGGTATTTGTATTGGATGCTGGAAAACAGAGAATTAGTTTGATTCAATCATGCAAGGTGGCACAATGGATAAAGAGGGCACATCTGTGTCGTGCGGTCTGGATTTGTTTTTAAGTTTGCAGGTACCTCTTGGGCTCCTGGATTGATCTGGTTGTCATCCACCACAGACATCGAACATCAGATGCAGTTCCAAGATTGGCAACAGAGAACACTGCTGGAAAGACCCGGACAAAAATGAAGGATCACCTGCCGTGATGAAGAGCTGGGTGGGAACCGTTTATCTAAAGAATGAACATCTAGTGGGGTTGAAAGTTCTTTGTTGTCTCGGATTGTAGAAAACGATCAATTGAATTGGTCTGTGGAAATTGTGTTGTTTTTATTTCTTTATGTAATCATTTAAGTAATAGGGGATATATATAATGATAAGTATTTTAGGGTGGGAGGGACTATTAAGTAATCTTAAGTGGGTGGGGTTAGTTTAAAAGTTAGCATGATATTATGCATTAGATAACTCTATAAGTGGACATGTGTACTTACTTGTGATCCTTTACCCTATGATTGCTACCCTTAAAGATTTCAAATAAACTCAGAGGGACCTGCAGAGAGATCAACCTATTTAGGGCAGATTGGACATGGACAAAACTCTAGTGGGAAAAAGTTCAAAGATGATTAGATAAATCATTTAGAAGAGGCTCTTTGCCCTGGGTGTTAACTCCAGGGGTCCAGATTGTGAGCAAAGCCTTTGGAGAGTTACAGGATGAGTAGGTACTCTTTGAAAAATTCTTGCTGGAATGAAACTGGTAATGATGGAAGGTAAATATTTATGGAAGTTACCGGAAAGTGATGATGCCCCTGTCAGTGGCCCTCCTACTTCCCCCTGCCTCCTCTCCCTACCACCTCCCTACCCTTTCCCATTTTATTGCTGTATTTCTCTCTATTTACTAATATTGTATTGATGTTATAATAAAAATTCAATTAATAAAGATTTAGTGGTTAAGTGCAAACTGTGTCCTGATCATTTCAGCGTGCACCGACATTAAAGGAACAGGGTGAGGGTGTGGAGTGGGGGAGGGGGAGGAAGGGAGATGGGAGGGTAGGGCAATGGGGGTGGGGAAGTGGAGAGGGTGAGGGGAGGAAAGGAGAGGGGAGGGTGAAGCAATGGGGGTGGGGCAGGGGGGAGGGTCTGGGAGCCTAGAGGGAGGGTGGGGGTAAGTTTGGAAGTGGGGGGTTCGTATAAAGAACACATTAAACAACCCAGTATCAATTACCCAGAATACTCCAGGAAATCAACTAAATTATTCCCAGATGCAAAACTTTAACATATAAAGCAAAAATAAAGCACCACCATTAATGCTTTATGAATGTAATATAAAAACATTAAGATGCAAAACTTTAACATATAAAGCCACATAATGGTGATTCTATTAAGAAAATAAACTTTTAATATGAATCCCTCATGGAATACTTGATATTTATTAATAGAAAAATTATAAAATCATTAAGGACTGAAAGGAAGACATACTAATGAAATAAGATGGAGATGAATAATAAGGTAATAATAAGATGGGAAATGAACACGTGGATTTTTAAAATACCAATTAACATTAACAGTGATCATGAAAGTCCTATGAAGAAAAGGGACAAATGGGGTCCATGAGGTACTCATCCTATCATATTTCAAAACCTAATGACATCAGAGTTGTAATAGTTTGCATACAAAACACTGACAAAGGGACTCTTAATGTGCCAGTTTCAAAGGGTTGCTGGATTCATATGACACGGTGGTCACATAAACAATGGTTTATTGGGAAGGATACATGAAAAGAGCTGGGACTAATGATGAAAACACACAATTAAAAACTCTCACCTTGGAAGCAGGCTACCCTGGATAGTTGTCCACTCAGCCCAGAGTACACAAACTTTCACAGGTATGTAGAGTGATGGGTGGAACAGGGGAATCTGGGAGT